CCTTCTGAAGAGGGCCACAGTGTTACCCCGCCTATATGATTTTTGCCCACTGTATAACCAGTACCTTGCACCACAAGGAAGTCTACAGAGCTGCTGTGACCCCGGGAAAGTGACAGCTCCTGCAATCCTAAAAGACACCTCTGGTGTCTAACTGTCTGCCACCATGGAAATTCCTGTCCCTCCCTACTTCACCTGTCAGAGATCCCAGAAACAGTTTAGGTTCTGGATATGTGGCCAGGAACATGTCTAGATTCTAAACTTCAGTTCGAGGTTGTGTCAGAGGCCACCTTGGGGCACCCAGATGGGTAAGAAGTGGCCTGGGGACTGCAACTCCTCCCTTTGCATCCCTTTCTACCTTCAGCTTCCTAGAAGGCTCACATCTGTGACGTCTCTGAGCGTCAGTGGGGACAGGAAACAGAAGGAGTGGAATGCTTCCAACTCTTCCAAGCTGTGTATGGTGTGGTGTGTGTGTGTGTGTGTTCCCAGCTAGGACCTCACACATGCTAGGCAAGCACTCAACCGCTAATCTGTACCTCTAGCTCACTGCTGAGTTCCCAGTGTGAAGCTGTTGGGAAAGCACTCAGGGCTCTCAGCACTGTCAGATTTGCATGACAAGCCCTGGCTGTGTAGTTCCTCTACTGCTCTCATTTCTCCAGAAGAGTCAGGCTCCTACAGAACAGCTGACAATGAAAATCCTTCTGAAGGAGGCACCAAAGGGCTGTCCACCCCAACTCCATAGAACAGATGACAGCAGAGGCCTGTCTGAACGTTCACGATGGGAAGAGTTGATGGAGCCCCAGCCACAGACTGCTCTTGACCCATAGGATGAGGCTCTAACAGCACCCAGCCTTGTAGACCAAGCCTCTCACTCAGACGATCATCCACCTTCACCCTTCCTTCCTCCATCCATCAGATCAGACCCTGGTGCCTTCTCTCATCTTCTGGGGCAGGAATATCCTTCCTTTACGCAGGACTCCACACCTGCATGACCACAGGCGACCTAAAGCTCCTACCCTGGACCCAGGCAGACAGTGGCAGCATTTCCCCTCCCCCACAAAGTACTTGCCTGCTAAGGTCACATGGTGGTCTGCTCGCACACGTGTTCCAATCAACTGTGAGAGGTGCTAACCAAAGTCTTCCTACATACAACATGAAAATGCATGATCCAGAATGAATTTCAAACCTCAGAGCCCAGATGTCCCCATCCCAACAGGCCCCTAGTTCCTGGAGGGCCTGAACATAAAATTACAAATCTGGGGGGGAGAAAGAAAAAAGAAAAAAAAAAAAAAACCAACAACAACAGGGGACAGAGGTCAGCCTCTTAATAGATGACTAGGTCTGACTAGTTATCATCCTGCCCAGTAAGAAGAAGGAAGTGCAGGTGAAGATGCCCCCCTTGGTCTGCTAAGAAACCCAAGGCACTGCCCTGTGAGGCCCCAGCTGGAGGCTGGATCAGCTGCACTTGTCTGGAGGTCCTCAGTCTGAGGAGTAGCCCCTGGTTGTCTCAGGAATGGAAACCTTGTAAGAGGTGGGAGTACTTCGCATCCTCTCCTTTCTGAGCTAACATGCCCGGAAGCACTGTGGCTACAAATGAGTCTCCCATTTCATGGAGGTTGGTGATTTAGAGCCGGTGGCCCTGCAGAATCTAGCTGCAGACCCCTTCGTGGGCCCTGAGTCCTGTCTTGTTGCGAGGAGGTCTGGGAACAGTCTCAGCACAGTGCTGGCTCAGAGCCGACAGAGTTCCTGCTGTTCTTCAGGGAGAGTTGTTTAGGTCCTTTGTCCGGTAGCTTGGTAACAAGAAAACTCTCACGCTTGTCAAAAAAGGGAAAGCCTCAGGACCCCTCGCTGCTCCCAGCTTCCTCTGCTCTCCACTCCATGCAAAGACCAGAGCAGTGGGTGGCATTGGGCCTGTTCCTCCCAGAGGCCCAGGAGGGTAGCCCGCCCCCAACTGCCCGCCAGAGCAGGACAAAAGACCCTTGACAGCTCCCTGGGACATTTCAGCTGCGGCCCTGCTGGACAAAGCAAGGGTACACAAGCGCCACAAAGTCCTTGGGTCTTGTCTTGGCTGAGTCTGAGTCTTGGAGAAGCCCTGCCCAGGGAAACCCTACAATCCAAGCACCAAAATGACCCCCCTCCTCTTACTTGCAGCTAAGTTCCCAAAGTCCGTCCTAGACCTACCCCTGTATCCAGGAGAAGTCTAACAAGCAGGAGCAGGCCCTGACTATATCCTCTTGCGTCACAGGACCACATCCCTGAACTGGAGGTGGGAGGAGCACCTGCTTCTCACACCATATGTCAGAGAACACTATCTTGCCAAATCCAGAACAGGGAAACCAAAGTCACCCCTGTCCCCAAAAGCTGCTGTGTTTCTTGATTCCCATAATAGGGCAGGCTCTAAACTTCAGAGTCAGCCAGCTCATCCTGTCCTTTAGCTGGCCATTCTGCAGGACTGACCAGGTAAAGGACTCTTTCTTCCCAGGAGCCCCCCGAGGGAGCACCTCACAAAAAGACAGTGGCTCAACATTGCTCCAAGACTGGAAGCAGCTCTCTCAAGTTTGACCCTGCTCAGTAGAAACCTGCAGACCAGTAAATACCTGGACCATGGACTTCCCTGCAATCCCACATTATGCCTGGTGGCCCCTGGAAGTACAAAACGCTGTGCTGCTGGGAGGACAGGACACCAAGCAGCCTTAAAGCGGCTTTGAAAAACATCTCTTCTTCCTCAGGGACCTCCAGCTCTAGCCAGTGGAGGAGGCACCCAGTCCAGCTGGGTCCAGGTCCACACCCAATTCAGAGACAACAAAGCTACATTTCCTTCTTAAGACCAGACACCCAGGGCTCATTAGCATCTACGCAAAGGAGTTTCCCCAGCGACCTTTGTTTTAGACCCTTCCTCCAGCAGCTCCAGAACTCACATCCCAGGCTCCAAGCTCAGCGAAGTTGCTTGGTGTCGTCCAAGTTCTCTGACGAGACTCTTCACCTAGGAAGTCAGGGGGCTCAACCCTAGGCACCCGGGCCTGAAAGCCTCCTCCCTCTACAGGTCAGGGAGATTGGGAGACCCCAGATAGACAGTGCCCACGCACAAGCTGGGAGTGCCAGGCGATCGCATTCTCCCGCACACCCAACTCTAATGTCCACACTCAGGCACTGAACTTTGCTGCGGGCTCCGCCACTGGTGCCACTGCGGTAACACGCGAACTCTTGACCACAAGCGCCTTCGGAGCGTGTGGGCATCAAGGGGACCAAGGGCTACGGACCACGCTCCCCGAACCACGGACACTGGACCTGAGTGCAGCTCCGGGGGCAGCCCCGCCCAAAGGCTTTTGTTCCTAGCAGCCAGGGCCCCTAGAAGCTCCCCAGCACCTGTCACATCAACCGGGACACCGCTTCGCGAGCAAACATAGCAGGGCACAGCAGAGATCTAGCACGGTGGCTGCTCCCCTCGCATGCCTGTCAGCCAGGAAAATCGGCCAGATCCAAGATTATCCCAGGAGCCTCCCGAGGTTGGTTCGGGTCCGGAGAGCCAAGCAGAACACCAGGACTCACCAGTTGAAGAGCGCAAAGCGCAAGAAGCGTACAGCGGCCCGAGCAAGAGCCCATGGTATTCACGCCTCCCGCGGGCCCCTTTGCTGCTAGAGTGGGCCGGAGCCCGCCGTACGCGAAAGCTTCGGTCCACGGTGCCCCCGCCCCTCCTTGCCTGCCGGACACCGCCTCCTTCCAGTTTGCAGATTCCGTCCCAGCTTGCCTCGGGTAATAGACCCCAGCCCAGGCTGCCCCCTTCCTTTTAGATCCCGCCCTTGCCCACCCGCTCTTCAGACCCCACCCTCTCCCCCTCCCCACCCTCTGGGTAACAGCTGCTCGGCGTCAGTCTTCACTCACACACCCCTAGTACTTGTAGCCCTTAGGGGCTTCAAGCAGTCCGGAGAAGAGGTGCCAGACCCCTTCTTAAAGGGGCAATGACACAGCTTAGCAAAGAGCAGCGAGGGGCTGCGAGGTGGCTACGGGACCTGCCAAGGAGTCTGTCCCGGGGCTGCTATTAAAAGAAGAATTAGCAACCATACATAGTCCACCTCCAATAGCTTTCAGCCTGGCTCATATCCCTGCTCCGAATCCTCTGGTGGGACAGACACCTCTGCACTGTTGCCATCAAACTCCTTCTTGTGGGGGGTGGTGCAGGCTTACCCCAGCCACGAATTGTTTTCAGTGTTTTGAGAAGTCCTGGCCTGGTCCAAAGCTTTATGTCTACTCTGAGAGTGAGGACTCAGGCACAGGAGGAATGATGGACTCACCCATCAGTACTTCACCTGCCTGGAAGGTCTAGTTCCGGTCTGCTCAGGAGCAGCGTTAGGAATACTAACAGGTGTCCTGTCCACAACAGCGCATGGAAAACCCTGCTGCACAGAGGTCTGAAAATGGGATTAAGCTAGGTTATGGAAGAGCCTCACATTCAGGCTGGAATGTGTGTCACGGTCAGATGAGGCACTGGGCTGTAGTGCATGCAGGTCCTAGTATGATATAAAAACCTATTGCCGGGCTGCGGTGGCGACGCCTTTAATCCCAGCACTTGAGAGGCAGAGGCAGGCGGGTCTCTGAGTTCGAGACCAGTCTGGTCTACGGAGTGAGTTCTAGGACAGGCTCCAAAACTACAGAGAAACCCTGTCTCGAAAAAACAAAAAAGAAAACAAAACAAAAATCTGAAAAAAGCCTGTCCTTGGGGCAGGAATCTTGTGCTAGCAGTCAAAGAAGTTCTAGGCACCTGGTAGCTCACTGTGGGAAGACAGAGGAGGTGAATAGGAGGTTCCCACCGGGTGGTTTGGTCACAGCCTTCTGAGAAAACTGAGTCTATCTAGCTTTGGCCTTGACTTGAACAGCCCAGAGACAGAGAGCCAAATCCCAGTTTCACCCAACCTCGTGGGAATGCTCAGAACATGGAGATAGCTCTCCTCTGTATATCAGACACAGATCACAGAGCACCCACTCTCTCACCACTGGCTTCTCATGGAGAAATGATCTGTGACTTCCTGTGACCGCTTAACTCCTGAACCATTCATACCATTTTATGAATTACCAAATTCCCCTGATCTCATTTTTGTGGACAGTCACATACGGCACTGTCAGGGTTGTATCTTGCTAGCCCATTTCAAAGAAAGTCAAGGGCTATGGCTTCTGGGAAGGAAGCCCATCAAGATCCTCAATACAAGGTTGTGGAAATACAAGTCTCAGACCCAACAAACAGGAAAACTCAGAGGAGAGGGTTGTATTTATGTGTGTGTTTCAGGGGTCAGGACAAGAGATTTCAGGCTGATGAGATGGGAAAAATCAAGGAAACAAGAGGGTGGGACATCCAGTCACCTCCCCCCCCCGCCCTCTCAGAGCATCTTTGGTGGGACTGAACTGGGGCCCAGGAAGGAGACCCTAAAGTCCCCCCCACTTCCAGGATAAGAGACTCAACAGCTGTTCGCTGAATGGGGCAACCTAGGCCTGGGGTAAAGATAGAGCCACATAGAAGTCCTGATCATCAGAGCAAGCTGTGTGAAGATGGTAAGATGTCTTGGGCAGATGTTCATGCAAAGTTACTCAATGAAAAGAGCAATGTGCCCGAGAGGGTTTGACACGTGGGGCTGGATAATTCCCTGAGGTGGGGCTCTCCTAGGCTAAGTAGGATGAACATTGGAAACACCTTAATTCCTGCCAAGATACGGCATTCTTCTCTAGTTGTGACAGCCACACGTCTCCAGTGTGGAAAATGTCCACTCAGCCCATTCCGGTGTGGGTTTGATGTCATCAGAAGGGAAAACACCATGTATATAGCTAGATGGCACAGGACACCACATGACACTGTGCACATCTCTGGGTACATTCTCACCATGGCCATGTGTGTGGATCACAGGCTCCACTGCATGACTTGAATACAGGCACACATGGTTTCTGCAGCCTGCTGGCTCTCTCCAGCTGCCGTGGTACCCGGCTGTACCAGACATCAGAGTGCAGCACTGAGCCTAGCATATCCTACCTGAGTACTCTATGGTCCAAGCCTGTACCCTCCAGACTTCCAACCAGGTGGGAGTCCAGCCTGCCTTCTTCCCAGCTCTCTTGGCAGACAGCAGACATTGTGTTTCTGGTGCCTGCAGGTCCTTGAGTCTTGGCTATAGCCTCTCTGAGGTTCTTTAGGGCTCACTCTCTGAGACAAAAGGGGTGTTCCTATTCACAGGAGAGCAGCCATGAGCAGTGGACTCTTCCTGACACACACTGTGGCTCAGGGGTGGCTGGGACCCCAGGGCTTTCCTCAGCTATTTGGTCTGTCTGTGGGAACTTGTCTTTTTGCATCTGGAGCAGGAGCATGCCATATAAAGTTTCTGGGTCACCCCAACTTCCTGACCTGTAGTTTACCTTGTCTGGGTACATGGAAGGGCAGACAGAGTTTAGACACCAGATATCCACGCATCTCATCCACCTCATAGTGTGACTTTATGACAAACCCAGGCACATGCTCAGTATCATCTCCCTCCAGATTGCTCTCCATGCCCTGTGTCAAACTCTATCTTTATAGACCAGCTTGTCTTGTTGCATTGTGACTGCCTTTCTTATGAATGACAAAGAATGTCTCTCAAGGGACATTGCCACCTGTTCTAAAATTGATAACACATTTGTGGTTATACGCAGGATAGTTTTATCATGTTAGACATAATTATGACCCAGTTAGATATATAATGTTTGCAATTGTATGTGGGACAGATTTATCATGTTAGGTCTACTTATGAACTGGTTATTGTCTTCATCATGAAATTAAGCGTGACATAAGGAGATATGATTGTTGACATGGAGGAACTTCTGGTGGTTATTCCTGGTTGACGACTTGACTGCGCCTAGTATTAACTCAATTTTAAGCAGTCTAGAGAATCTTGACTAATACAGCGTGGGTAAGTTGGGCTGGCCTTCGAGGAACCAACAGAGGGTTGTCTTCTTATCTGGTTTGCTTAGTCCTTGGAGCAGGTAGTCCGATCCTCATTTCAGAAAAGGAAGCTGTTTGAGGGGGATCACAGCTGAGAGGAGGAGGAGAAAGTGGCCATAACCAAACCTGATAGGCTGATCTTACCATGCACATTTGCTCTCACAGAATCTTGTTGTTGCTGAGTGGTGAGCAAAAGGCCTGGGCCTGCCTGGGTACCAAGGCTGAGAGAACTTCAAGCACAAATGTTGAGACCACTGCCAATGCAGTGTAGAACGGAGCCCATGGCAGCCAATGACGGTGATGCCCTGAAAGATAAGTCAGATGAGGCCAGTCACTTCTCATAGTTCACTAATCAGGCAGCATGATCAGCTACAGAGGAAGCCTTAGGCCTGGGACCCGCTTCCTCTGGATTGAAACATTCTCTCCTGGAGTGAAGAGAGGAGCACAAGCCACTTTTCAAGCCCAGGAAGCTCAGAATGCTTTCAGGTCCACAAGGCTACACAAGCAACAGCTGCTGGGTTGAGGAGACTCTCCCGTGAAGCTGTCTGCAACCGGTGCGGTGAACTCCCTGGGCGCAGCACTCATGCGTGAGTTGCCATGTTGAAGAGGGCTTTTTGTAATGTAGCTGCATTTGCATCACCCTCGTCCTGCAAGCAGCCCTGCACTTACACGTCTATAAGTAATCACTTGTTAATTAAGCTGGACTTGGATGGAATAGTTTCTTTGGTCTGTAGTTGGTGCTTTATCTGGGGTTAACAGACGCTTGCCCATGTATCCTTAGGAAAAGTCAACCAGTTTCTAGGAGACTGAGACTCTCTGCAGCAGAAGGGCCCATGCTTGGTATCTAATAGCCTGAGGGAGGAGACTTTTCCTGTAGCTGGGTACCTGGGTTTCTGAGGCCTTCTCCATAGGAGCCCAAGGCCAGGGATCTACCAGGATGTCTTGGGAACTCATCTTTGGTCTCAGAAACTCATGGATCAAAGACTAGAGCAGAGCAGAAGCAGGCGAGGCTGATGTTTTTCTCCCAAGCTTTCAAACATTAGCTTCATTAAACAAACTCAGAGATCAAAAGCCAGCTGCAGGCTTCATTGGATCCCTCTGCCCCCTCCTGGGGCTAGCAGCTGTTCCTTTTCAGCCTATCCTATATGTATTCCCTCTGCCCTCTTCTGTTTCTCTCTGTTGCTCTGTCTCTCACGATGGAGCCCATAATGTAATCCCCAAATGCTGACAAGAAACCAGCATTTGCTTTCCGATCTGCCATCTGTGGTGGCAGTGCCGCCAGGATGCAGATTTTCATGAAGACCCTTATGGGGAAAACCATCACGCTCAAGGTTGAACCCTCGGACACTATAGAGAATGTCAAGGCCAAGATCCAGGATAAGGAAGGAATTCCTCCTGATCAGCAGAGGCTGATCTTCGCTGGCAAGCAGCTGGAAGATGGCCGTACTTTATCTGACTACAACATCCAAAAGGAGTCCACCCTTCATCTGGTGTTGAGACTTCGTGGTGGTGCTAAGAAAAGGAAGGAGAAGTCTTACACCACTCCCAAGAAGAACAAGCATAAGAGAAAGAAGGTGAAGTTGGCTGTACGGAAGTACTATAAGGTGGATGAAAATGGCAAAATTAGTCGTCTTCGTTGAGAGTGTCCTTCTGATGAATGTGGTGCTGGAGTTTTCATGGCTAGCCACTTTGACAGACATTACTGTGGCAAGTGCTGTCTGACTTACTGCTTCAACAAGCCAGAAGAC